AATCATCTTTGGGCAATCCTCCAGGAGGCTTGGAGTAATATATCAAGTCAATGTTTGAATAAACTGACTGCTCGGATGCCTAGTGTTGTCCCATATTATCAATGCAAAATGGTCACTAACTAAAGAGGATTTATGCTGATATTGCCCAAAAACCCTATTTTGTTCAGGCGTTTCCAAACTTTTGGAGGGCAGTGTACATCAGAAGAAGAATCCAGGAACTGCGGTGTACTTCAGAAAAGATAGTGGATACAGTAAAAAAAAATTGTGTAGTACACAAAGTTTTCAGTGAAACAGGACATTTCTCTGGAAACATTGCTTGCACAGCTGATAAAGGACTTTTGTCTGAAATGTCCTGTTTCTCTGAAAGCTTTGTGTTGTGTTTGCTGCTGTTCCTCTTTTGGCTGCTCCCGTTAGGGGTCGCCACAGCGGATCATTGGTCCGCCTATTTGATTTGGCGCAGTTTTTACATCGGATGCCCTTCCTGACGCAACCCTCCTCAATTTTATCCGGGCTTGGGACCGGCATTGAGGGTGCGCTGTTGCACGCAACCACAGTGGCTGGGGTTGGTTCCCTGGCCAGGAGTCGAACCCGGGTCACGGCGGCGAGGACGATGTGGCCTAACCACTAGTCCTTCAGGGACCCCCTCTGAAAGCTTTGTGTATTAACTACTACTGTAATAATATTACAGTACAAGTTTAATAAAAAGGTTTTGCATAGGCCAAGCAAGGTCATTAGATCTAATCATTGCTTGAGAATACTATCCTATCATTTTTGTCAAGTACAAATGTAGACTTGGTGTAAAACAGACAGCGGTAGCCCATGTGCCACGGGTTATGGACTAGAGTGATGCACTAATTATTGATAACTCATCTGCAAACAGAGGCTCTGAAGGTAGTGACTTGTGACATTCAGTAACATTTTATTGTACAAACATACTGTGTTATTTTTCATACCACTGCAAGGTTTACTGGATTTTTGTCTTTCGCCATAAATTACACAGACACGGTTCAATACTTTAGATGAAGCATATCAGTCATAGCTGCTCATGGATAGTGGTATATTTATAGATGTATTTGATGTATTCGAATCATGTATTGTTTGCATGTCATATTCACTCGGTATATCCAGAAGATATTCTGGTCCTGATTTTCTAAAAGGCTGTGTGTGTGAAATCATATGCAACATAGCAACACCCACAGTTGAAAACAATATTATGCCATTTTCTAGGTCTTGATAATGAGAAAGTGTACCGAATAACAAGCAGTGTCTGAAAATGATTGTCTTGTTAAAATGTTTTATCTAATTTATTTCATATTGGATATTTTCTGCACTTTCACACGCCTGATACCAGCAGAAATATAAATAGAGTCTAAAAAATTTTCATTTACATTTACCTTATTAACATAATGCAAACTGGCTGCAGCTCCTGGGGACAATTAGCACATGCAAAAATCTCATTTATATTTTGCTTCCTCCCTTCACTTGGCCTCACTTTGGCATTTTAGTAAATCAGGGCCACTGTCTCCTCTGCAGAACACTATGTTACACTTCCCATTTATTATTAATGGACTTTAAACAGTAAATAATGTGACAAATTCAGCTGATCATGTTATTCGATTTCTGAGCAAAGTAGCAGATTGCTTACACACATGGTGCTTTCCAAACCCAAGCTTTCTTGAAATGACTCCCAGGTTCAAGAGTTTGGTTCTTGGGACCACATCCAGATTTTCATTTGACTTTTTTTATGCCTGACCAAATGTACCAAACTGTTAGTACATTGGGTTTAAAAAAAATACATAGTTTCCACTTTAACAGGAACACGTGTACACGTGCTCATTCATGCAGTTATCCAGATACAGAGCAAGAGCTTCAGTTAATGTTCACATCAAACATCAGAATGGGGAAAAAGTGTGATCTCTGTGACTTTAACCGTAGCATGATTGTTGGAACCAGATGGGCTGGTTTGAGTATTTCAGAAACTGCTGATCTCCTGGGAATTTCACGCACAACAGTCTCTAGGGTTTACACAGAATGGTGCAAAAAACAAAAAACATCCTGTATGTGGAGGGTCGGCAGGCTGAAACACCTTGTTGATGAGAGAGATCAGAGGAGAACGACCAGACTGGTCTGAGGAAGGAAGTCTATAGCAACGTAAATAAGCACTCTTTACAACCTTGGTGAGCCAAGAACAAGAATCTGAGGCTATCATGGGCACAGGCTCGCCCAACCTGGGCAGCTGAAGACTGGACAAAGAGCAGGTGATATTTATTTATTTATTTTTCCCCCCCCTCCCCCCACTAATGTTCAACTGTCCAATTTTGATGAACCTGTGCCCATGATAGCCATCCACTTCAAGGTTCGAGGTTTTGTGCATGCTGAGATGCTTTTCTGCTCACCACAGTTATAAAGAGTGATTATATGAGTTACTATGTCCTTCCCGGCAGCTCAAACCAGTCTGACCATATTCCTCTGACCTCTCTTTTCAACAAGGCATTTCCACCCACAGAACTGTTGCTCTCTCAATGTTTTTGTATTTCGCACCATTCTACGTAAAAAATTGAGACTGTTCTGTGTGAAATTCCCAGGGGATCTAAAATACTCAAACCAGCCCATCTGGCACCCACAACCATGCCACAGTTAAAGTCACAGAAATCACACTTTTCCCCATTCTGATGTTTGACATGAACATTAACTGAAGCTCTTGAGCTGTATCTGCATGATTCTATGCATTATGCTGCTGGCACATGATTGGCTGATTAGATAACTGCATAAATGAGCAGGTGTACAAGTGTTCCTTTTAAAGTGGAGGGTGACTGTGTTAATTGAACATAAGACATCAAATGAAACTTTTCAAATAGAGATTTCTTTCCCAAGAAATGGCATATAAAAGTAGTGGACAATTGTTTTAAGATTTAAAATTGCTTTATTCTAAATGTCAGTAATTCTGTAGCACCTAAGGTCGGGTTAGCCAAGATTACAACTCTATGGTCTGTACTTATTATAAAGCTTTTAATAACTTATGAGTTGTGGGAACAGTATTGATAAAACCTTTTCTCAAGTACCGTATAAGGAATATTGCACTTATGCAGAACTGAAAGTAAGAGGTGAGTTATTTAACTGTATGTTCCTGCCATAACGATCACAGGAACGCTATCAAGAGACAATACTGTCTATGTATATGACGTGATAGGTTGGTGTTATAAAAGCAAAAAGGAAATGATCAACCCCCACAGGAGTTTTCTGGAGCACTACATAGCTAATACATTGGAGCTAATAAAATGTAAAATGGTTAGAAGATGAGTGTAAAACCTCAAACAGCAGTGTCTAATGTACATTTAGTATTTGCATTCCTTTATGACAATATAAAGGTGGTGGTGTTTCTGTGTCCTACAATAATTTCCTCTTCGAGGAGTAAAATTCAGTTATAATATATTCTGGTGTCATTTTCGCACAAGTATAAACTATATACTGCTGTATAAAGTGTCTTTACAACAACCCTTACTGTGAGTATATTTGAGCCTGTCTTTGCCTTCAAGGTATAAAGTGAAGAGGACTGCAGTAGTGCGAAACACTCCAAAAGCAACAAGAGGAAACTGCTCAATTTCACAGCGTTTTGCCCCCAGTCGAAGAGATTGCAGTTAGTCTGACTGGCTTTAATAGCCTTAGATACCAAGCCATAGATACCGTATCAGTGTTTTGGACTGTGTTGTGCTTATCTTAGATCACTCTTCTGGGACAGGTATTCTCCATCAACAAGGCAAAGGCTGGATTTGTTGACCTCTTAGCCTTATGTACATTTTTCTCATGACTGATAGCCTGATTCATTTTCAGCATGCCTGTTTGGGATCCTGGAGGAGTGGCACAGCGGGCAGTCCTTGGCATGGGAACACTCACTTTGCCTCCGGTTGCTGCTTCCGGCTCCTTTTTGCTATCTCGAAGCTTTGGCTGAGCTTCCATGGCTCCACATGAAAGGTTGGGTTTGACTGGGAGGAGATGGCAGCTGGCAGACCCAGACAAAAGGAGCCTTTCTTTCCCCGTAGTCGCTTTCAGCTGGTCCTTTTGTATGTCAGGACTCCGGTTTACCCAGGAATTGACTAGAGAGAAGGCGGATTCCGGCCGCCTCGGCTTTGGAAGGGAGCGCCGCAAAAACGCTTTGCTCAAGTACAGCAGTGAAGCACTGAATGAACTTAAATCTTCCCAGAATGCACCTGATGAACTGTTATTTTGTCCATGGCTAGTTAAGCCCTCCATGCATTTGTCCAAACTCTGATACCCATGGCTGCTTAATCTTACTTAGTCTGTTTTTCAGTAGTCTTTGATTGGATTGATTGTTGTAAGAATGGTTATGGCTTCAACATGTGTGTTGAGTCACATTATCTATGATTAGTCTAAGCTACTGTGTTCTCTTGTTTGAAATGTGAGTGTTACAAGTATTCTTGCCACCCATTTGTCTCACGTCTCAGTAAGTAATTGGCAAAACAGTGGCAAGACCACCCCAGACTCACCACAGCTTACCACAAATGGAAAAAAAAACAAAAAAACATTTTTTGCTGTGTTTTAGTGGGTCTGATCTAGCATTCATTGATTGCTTCCATTTTTCAGCAATTTCTAATTAAGGATTTGAGTTTAAGTGGAACGTAGATACATGCTGCAATCAAGCTAACACAGCACTTTGACTATGTTTTAATAAGCTCCCTTTCCATTGCCGGAAATCAGTCAATGTTTACAACTCTGGGCAAATCTCAGAAGTCATTTATTTTTTACGCTCTCAGTGGATGGATGATGATCCTCAAGCAGTGAGCTGAGAGTGAAGGAGTTGAATTACGAGAGTGCCTACATCTGTGATAATCATGACTTCAAGAAGACATTGGTCTTCCTCACCCTTTATCTAGACACCATTCCATCATTTGTATTAGCTCCCATTATAATATTTCTCTTTTCCTATTTCTGGTGATCTATCCCTTTCTCTTCCTCCCCAATGAGTTATAGGAAGGCATCAGTGTTTTCTAACTGAGAGCAACTTTATTATTATTATATGCTCATTTGTCAGCATGTTGCTCATGCCCAGTCACTCCAGTGTATTCCTCTCTTCTCACTGAGAGAGTACTCTTTCTGGTTTCTAGCCTTGTGAAGTAGGCCCTGCAGCTGAGAGGACTTTGCTTATAGTATCTGAAGAGGCTGATTTTCATATTCACACCATGAACTGGCACAGTTAAGAGCACTGTGCTCAGATCATTGGCAAAATAATGTCTGCAGTTAATTGTGTGAATGAGGCCTGTTGCTATGAAAAGGTGGATAATAACATTGAGTGATTGGTTGAGTGGGAGCAGAAAAGGCCACTTTTTCAGATATGTCCATGTTGCACTGCAAGGCATTTTATATTATGCCTGTTAGTGAAAGCTAAGTGAAATTCCTATAGGCATCAGCAGACTTGGTAGTAATTTTTTTGCTATGTCAATGTCTTTATTCGTTTAATTTATGTCTGTGTTATTCGGATTGTGCTTTTAATCATAGACATTGTCATAGATGACACATTCAGTTCAATTCAATTCAGTGCAACTCTTTGTTTGTATAGTTTGCATTTGTATAGCTCTTTTAACAATGTACATTCTCACAAAGCAGCTTTACAGAAATATATA